ATTGCATCATAGTAGGAAAGAAACTCAATGTCTTTGAGGATACAGCTGTCTTTTCCATCATTAGACCAGTAGTCCTGTGGACAGCTAATGCACTCAGCTGCACCTGAAAACAAGGAAAAAATATGAATATAATATAGAACACATTTATGTTGTTTACTCTAAATTTTATATTGTGTATTTAATTATGTTTTAAATTAGTTCAGAATAGGAGTTTGTGAGTAAAATATTGCAAACTGTGTTTTGGTGTAGAAGTACTGTGGTGAATCCTATAAACCAAGAAACTTTAGAAAAATACCAGCTTTGTAACATCCATTATATTTCTAAGTGTAGATTTGTCAATAAGCTATTTAAATACAGAAAAAAATGTAATCAAACTTTCAGGTTTATTACTTTTGTTTAATACTGTATTTGTTCATTCTGTAGTTTCGCTTCATTTCTTTAATGTACAGTACAAGAAATACCTTCTAAAACATGGTGAGCTTTGTATTTTGTGTTTTATAACTAGGCTTCAGATATTTTATCATACTATTATACTTTTTACATGTTTTCAGAATGTTTCAAGAAAATGTTTTCTTGACATACTGGTAGGATAACAGGCTTCTGAGAAAACTGGCCCTGGTGTGTGCGTGTGCCCTGAGCTGGACTGGTATCCCAGAGTCCAGAGTGTACCTGCCTTAGGGCCCTAAATTAGAAGACGTGGTGAGAAACTGGATGGATGGATGCTCATAGTGGTGGGAGCACAGCAGAGCAAAGCGAGTGAGGAATTTTATCCCAGTCATGCCATTCCACCCAGCTGTATGATTAGGGAGCAGCATTGCTGGCAGTACTCCCTGTAGTGGACTGGTGTCCTGTCTGGGGAACACTCTTGTGCTCTCTCGTCTGTGCAGCATCATGGAAACCAGGACAATCTCTGGCCTGATGCACTACTGTGGCTTGGGTATAGAAAAGACCTACAGTACCTAATCTGACAGTATAGAAGGATACATGAGGGTTCATATAACAAATAAAATAAGAATGCCTTGCTGTTGATGAGGATAAAAACTTGATAAATAAAACTGCCACTGTGTAAAACGTATTAAAACTCTCGTCTAGATTGTTTTGAAATCCACATAAAATAAACAATTATAGAAGAGAGAGGTAAGATCATAGTACCATATGCAGTACAGTATGGTAATTATGTTGGTATTACATCAAATATTATCAAGGATATGCAGAATATGTGAAATATATCCAGATTTAAAAAAAAAATCTCTTACTGTGTAGTTCGTACCTGTGGTGTTTGCTATGGTACCATCAGCACAAGGAATGCAATCGAAGCAGCAGATGGGCTGGCCTTTCCTGGCTGCTCTTCTTGTGCCTGGGGGGCAGCTCTCAGAACACACTCCTGTTGGAAGCTGAAGAGAGAAACAAAGTGGGATATATATTAAAATTAAAATTTTAAAGTTATTTATTCAGATTAAGTGGGACATTTTAAATATGCACCATTAAACATATTTCATATTTCAAGTTCAACATCTTAAGTAGACACCAATAAACATATTTCATGTTTTAACTATTGAAACAATCACCCTGCAGCTCCCCACTGGCTACCCACTGAAGCGAAGCAGGGTTGAGCCAGTGGTCCCACCCTGAGGTCCGTGTGGTTCCTAATGCTCCAGTATAGTGGTATACTGGTACAGTAGTGGGCGCCATCTTTCAGATTAGATGTTATACCAAGGTCCTGACTCTCAATGGTCATTCTCTGTAAGAGAATCCGGGCCAAATTTCCCCCCTCGCCCTTTACCGTGGCCTCCAAATTGTCCCATGTATGACTGGCTTGCACTGGCCCTGCGATGGACTGGTGTCCTGTCCAGGGTGTACCCTCCCTTGCGCTCGTTGCTTGCTGGGTAGGGTCCGGTCTCGCGACACCGTATGGCATAAAGCAGTTTGGCAAATGACATGACATGACAATAAATGAACTACACACTAAAATTAAATAAATTATATAATAATAAGCATAATAAACCATGCATCTGACTTAAAGCTGTCATGTGAGCATTTGAAACTAGTATCAAGATCTGAAATAGTGCTTACCTCTCTCCCAGTGCTCCAGACAATACTGTCCTCATCAATCACTAGCTGACTGCCTCCATCTGCTGATGTATCAAAGTGACCCACTGTCACATGGCTGACCACTCCTTTGTTGAGTTGCCAGTTTATAATGTCATAGGCAGCAGGAGGATCTCCGTTCTCATCAAAGTACACAGCTTCTCCAAACCGGTTTACAAAACTGACTCTTTTTAATTGTTTAGTGACCTTGAGAGTGTGGATTAAATAGTTTACAAATTGTTTAGTATTTTTTATAACTCTATATTGACAGAATCTTAAATTTAGTGATTAAACTATTAGGCAAGTGTTGTTTAAGATGATGAGACAGAGATCTGTCCTGCAGTTAGTTTTTACTCACCTGCCAGGGCTCTATTCTTGCAATATCTCCACACAGTTTAATGGTTTTATTTTCACAAAACAGTAAGCCATGAAGTGCATGTGCTACAGCATACACCGCATTGTGTACATTATATGATCCCCTTAATTGTGAGACATCAAAAAATGCATTTTCTATTTCATCTAGCCTTTCTTCTCCTGAGCATTTCTTGGTTTCTGAAACATTTTGTTGTAAAGGTTCCTGTTTCAAACGTAGAGTGCACCCAAAGATGTGTTCCCAGAATACATTATTTAAGTTGTTTGTAGAATCGAAAGACGGACGTAGATTGAAGAGAAAATCTTTGAACTGTGGGATTGCCATTTTACGAGTTGTAAATCCAATTGTGCCACCAAAAGACTTGAATATTTCTACAGTGGAGGGTCTCGCTGCTGTTATCCAACCTTCACTTGCGATCCACTGTATTCCAGTTATGTTTTGCCTGACAATCTCTTGCATTAAAGGGTACAGGTCACGTTCAGAGACAAATGCTAATATGACTTTCACTCCTGTCCTTTTAATAGTTTCTGTTATCTGACGTAATGCAGTTCTCGAATAGGAGCTTAAAATATTTTCAGTGAAGGCGATGCAAACTCCGTACTTGACAACTTCCTTGGTAAAAGACTGAACCCCAAATATTCCATACTCACTATCGGCTTGAATAGCTCCGATCCACGTCCATCCAAAATGTTTAACAAGCTGAGCCAAAGCTTTGGCCTGAAAAAAATCGCTCGGAACAGTTCGGGAGAATGTGGGGAACTCTCTTTTGTTGCTGAGACAAGAACATGTTGAAATATAGCTGACCTTTGTGAACAAATACAAATAAAAACAAAGATTAATATATTCTTGTATGTGTAGTCCATACTGTACATAGTGAAGGTATAATTTAAGACACAATATCGTTTTTAACCAACTCGTTCAGTGTTAGAAAAACGTCTTTTATTCAAGTTAGTAAAATATTCGTAAATATAAACTTTCGATTTGAAATATACAGATTATTTGACCTAGTTTAAGCTTACATAATAAGAATTCATGTGGGCTCCGTGTAACCGTCCTTCATATAAGGTTAAAAAATTGGACGATACCCTTGAGGTAAACAAGCGTTAATAGGGCGTCTAAACCTAAAAAGGGGGTTAAACATGTTTTCCAACAATATTATAATCTAAAACTGTGGGGTTTAGATACTAATTGCAAAATAAATAGCTGGCAAAAATAATTTAATTTAAAAAAACATTAAGGTTTACCAGAGGAATACCGAAGCCTCCAATTGCCCTGGCGATATTTAAAGAGTGAGATGTGATAACAGCAGTGATTGGGGACGGACACGATGAGTCATAATATTCATTCTCTTCAGGTCTGTTTGCTAAGAGTAAACCAGCTCTTGCAGTTTCAGCTGGAGAAGCGCAATTGTCGAGGATTCTGTATCCCAAAGTAATGTTCGGGAGCAATTTGTTGTTCATGTTTATTTCCTCTACGGCAAAAACCATCATCTGCACCCACTGAAACACGCGAAGATCAAACCTGTTAGAGACACAATATGTTAACAAA